AGCGGGACAAAAATGATTCAAACGACCAGCACACGATGAGTAGCAAAAGTATTTTTGTTCATGGCGTGCCCGAGCTACCGACAACCAGCAACCAGGAAACCCATACTCATGACCTGGAAGAATGGCGTTGCATCCGTGAAGCTCTCTGTGCGGGCGACGTCATACTTCAGTCGATTACACGGTTACCCGTGTCATTAAACTACAGAGGCAGGATACTGCAACTAACGGTGCAATCACAACAGATGGCCGTGAACTTAATCCGTAGCTGGCAGTTAGTACGGAACAAACTTCCCTCGGCACTACAACTGAAGGCAGTAGTTAGAGAGCCGTAGCCACTCACTGTTCCCGAGGAAACGACACCACCCGCGAATCAATATAACCACAACAGCGATTCATAAACCTCTGCGCTAAGAAACGTAGATATGGAGAAGGCTGCCGCTGGACTACAAACTGCAGGTGCAAGTGAGACCAAAAACAGATTACATTCCTATCGAGATCTGACAACTCACCCAAAAAACGATTAGATGCCGGCCGCTCATTGGTCGGCACAAATGCACACCATTCATGTGCTCCAGGTCCACAGCTTTTGACATCCGAGAAGCTTTGTTGCATGCACACCAACGCTCAAGGCTTACTGAGTAAACTTTCCGAAATGAGGCTGCATCCAGTAGCCAAAGCCTGTGATCTTATCGTTCTAACGGAGATATGGTTGGGCTCTGACATAAGTGACATGGAGATCGCACTATTAGGCATGTCCATTCTTCGGCACGACCGACCCAGCAAAGCTGGAGGGGTTGGCTCTCTACTTCCGCAATGACCTCCAATGTGAGCTCATAGAGGATACAGTCAGCACGGTACAAGATTCCATCTGGTGCCGTCTACGTTTAAAAGGCGACGACAATTGCTTAGTGGGGGTCATTTACCGTCCTCCTTCCTCCACGCCAGAGATGGACTCCCATCTGGCATCCGCAATAAGGAGGGTGATAAACACAACTTGGGGACATTCGCATTACTGGCGATTGTATAATTCACGCTGTGGAATCCCAAACATCTCCCAGAGAACAGTTGAAGGCCGATCTGCAAGAGTTTGCCTTCAGTTACCCACTGTATGACCACCTTAACACTCTCACCCGCTTCCGATAAAAAGATAAACCTTCGATACTCAATCGGATATTCACTAACGAAGAACTTATGGTCTATAGGATGACCGTTGCTGCACTTCAAGTACTTTTGCTATGCAGAATATCCCGTGGTAATTGCCGACGCAACGAGAATGTGTGGACGCTATGACATATCAGCTCGACTAAGTGAGACAGCCAACCGGACATTTCTGGCAAACGAGGCACCAGCTAGTGCATGGGAACATTTCATCAACCAGTTTAACTCTCTGGTTGCCGAATCGTCAGCGAAGCAGGACACGCAAGTGTATAGCCGGGCGGAACTCAACCTGGCATATCTACAAACTCTCTCCAAGCACCGAGAACTGGATGGTCTATACCACCCAACAGAATCATTGTACTTAGCCTGTTTGCAAGGATAGGAAGTCGCAGCAGCAGAAGTTAGCAGTGCGTATGACCTCAAACCACAAGCTTCTGTATCAACACGTCAACAGTCTACATAAAGTGAAACGGGGGATTCCTCCACTTCAAACAGCGGACAGACTCACACGGACACCGGAGACAGCGAATAGCTTGCGCTTACAATAAGCTGCTAAAATTTAGTGCGATCAATGGCCACCTAACCATCTGGAGATAGTTGTTTTACTCTCAAAACTCACGCACATATCCTTCACAGCCGAAGCTGTACTAAAAAAGCTGTTGAGTATGCGCAAGCACAGCTCCCCTGTAGTTGATAATTTCCACACGAAATTGCTGGCGGAAGTATAAGTGAGTTTAGCTGAGCCTTTGGATCGATTCTTCCAACACTGTTTTGAAGAAATTTACGTGTCTGACATGTGGAAACACGGGATGATTACACCTATTCACCAGGGAGGTAGTGGTTCCAATCCAGTCAATTATCGTCCCGTAATCTTACTACCGGTTCTTTCAGAGGTCATGGAAGCTATTAGTTCTGACGCGCTAACTGACTACTTGAAAGAATTTAACTACCTTGCATGGGAACAGCTTGGATTTCGACGAAATCGATAGTGCACCACAAATCTACTACTAGCACGATGCAGCTGGACTGAAGCAGGAGACTCTGGCACAGGAGTTGATGTAGTCCACATAGGCTTTATGAACCCTAATGGCTTCATTTTTTGCATTTACACCATCACTGCGGACACCTGGATGATAATAACAATGTAATTGTTTGGGTAGAAAAGTGGGAAAAGAGCAGAACTGTTACTCCAACAGCAGATCGCGCGGCATGCCAATGACTTTTGCCGTGTCAATAAGCAAACGTGAGAGATAAGAAAATGCAGTATTAGGATACGATGACGTGCGGGAGAATAAAATTCTGCATTTCGAACAAATGGATAAAAAAGGGCGTTTTGGACGGATCATTGGGAAGTGAATAAAACCGTTTGGTTAATAATTTAGAAGAAAAATCATTGCAGGCAGCAAGGTGTGTAGAAATTACCAAATCAACTAAAGAATCTCTAGACAAGCCGCTGCATCTAGAAATGTTTTGTAGGTCGCAGCAATCGATGTAGTATTTCTGAAGCAGTCCAGAGGAAATGACAGGAGAGCAGAAAACTAATGGGGAATGACACTAGAGGTTACAAAGCTAAATCTTAAAGTATGTGGTACTGAAAATATTTTAAGTCTGAGGGCATAAAAAGTTTTATGACTTTTTGAAGTTTCACAGACTTGCGTGGACCAAGAAAGGTTCTGGAACAAAAATACACCGAGATACTTGACGGTGGAAGAGCTGGGTATGGGATTTTCATTCACAGTAATTGTGCGGAGAAAGCTGTGAGACTGCAGCTTGTCGCCACGTAGAAAAGAAAATAGTACACCAGTGGCTTTAGAAGCATTAAGCGTAAGAGTTCTGAATGAAGACTATTCCACCAGATCTTCCAACCCACATTGAAGTGATGAGGAATCCTGAATAGTGGGGAACATACATCCCAGCTCAACGTCATCAGCATACGTACACCCCATAAAGGCGGTTTGTATGGGGAGATGTTCAACATACAAGGAAACTAAAAATGGTGATAGGATCGCTCCCTGTAGAACACCACAGTCGGCAAGGAGGACAGAGGATTTCTTACCGTTCAACTTGGTGAAGTGAGTACGATCTGTAAAATAGTCAGGTAACAGATTACATACACCACGGTGAAATCTATTTTCCGATAGCAGGTTTAGCAAACTTGACCTATCCAGTCTTTCGAATAATCCGGGAAGGGAAGCCGTACGGAAATAAATTTTTGATGTAATGCAGAGGCTATGGAATAAACAAGATATGCCACTGCATCTAATGTGGAGCGCTGGGGGTCTATACGCAAACTGGTAAATATCGTCTTCAGGAACGGCTGAAAAAATCCGCGGAATTAACAGTATTTCGAAAACGCTAGGGAGCACAGATCTACATGCAAATGGGCGATGCTTTTGAGATCCCGTTTTTGGTACTGGAGTGATACTGGCCGCTCTCCAAATGTCCGGGATCACACCCGTCGTGAGACAATTATGAGAGATTTGTTAAAGGCAATGTGAGAGAACCAGCATACTCGTTCATAGCTAATGGTGAGAGAGCATCCGGACCACAAGCTTTATTTGCCATTAATTTTGAGTTCCTTGTGGACGTTGCTTTTATCGAAGGGCGAGGCTGGATTTGAGCTAATTAAGGAGGGTAAGGAAGCTTAGCTTGGTAACGCGGAACTAAACTCCGAATTCAGTTTATCCACATCCATTTAACCCCTCTGGCTGCAAAGGCTCTTACCACAGAGCTGCCTCAGAAGTCTTCATAGATTGCGACAGTTATGGTTGCCTAGAACTGCTTCGACGTATACTTGGTTTAGTCTTTTTATCTCGGATTAAATTGCTGTGGTTAGGCTTCTGACACGGGTAGCATTCTTGCACTTGTAAGTCCATTGTTTCATCGTTCGAAGTCGCTTTAGTAGTGGTGATGAAAATCTATCTGCCCTTAGATAGATAGTTTCAACAGGGCAGCATATGCCAATGCAATATTTGATGAAGTCCGTAAGATGGTCACATTCGAGCGAGAGGTCCTCGTCGTTGAAGACCGAAAAGTCAGTTAAAGAAAACATCACTTTAACTGTGCATATAATGTTTTGGGGATTCTACCTGCGTAGGTTGTGATAAGGAAACCCCAGTGTGAATTAGACGTTTCAACTGCTTCAAAAATGGATAAACTTTAGGGCTCGGTCGATATCTGCATATTTGGTCACGAAGTCACATCAGCACATAGCACAAGTGCCACAAGCTGACTTACTCAAATTAAGGTAACAGGCAGGGAATGCGCAGTTACGAAGATATTTTCTTAGCTGAAAAGAGAAGTAGTTATTGCGGATCATACAATTTCCTACTTTTGTTATGCAAACGTCAGAGCGTAGATACTCGTAATGACTGAATTTGCGTCTTCTTCATATTCCCCACATAACAATCGGTCGAGAAACATCTGTTGCTAAGCCCCGAGTCGTGTATTGGCGTCTACACGTACCCCACCAGTGCATACCTGGTAAAGTTAGGCGAGGTGATGGACCATGTTGCTTCGCTGTAGATGAACGACCTGGTGAATTCTTTGTCTTATTGACCACTGAACAGGTTTACGTATTATAGACATTTTCCATTCTGTTCGTAGCTGGTGGCTAGAGAGCTGACAGATGTCCCATTTACATGTTCTGAACACTGTATCGTTCTGATTAAGAAAACCAAACGGTATAAAGTCATATACTCCGTAACAGCACGTATTCAAAGAGGCGAAATCATGGACAGTGTTCACATATGGGGTGACCCTAACTTAAACAAAATCACTTCAGCCGAATCCAAACTGTGACATCAGTTGCAATTTTACAGATTTTAAAATCATTCACTTACTGGAATAAGGTCTCTTAATTCCGGATCTGCCTCAAGCTCCCTCAGTTCAGTTGGTTTAAGTAAGGAGTACCGTACCGCACTCATTACAACCATAACTACCCGCTGCGAACGAGCTTTTCGTTTATTGTGACTTCTTGAAACTGGAACAACAGCACCAAGTCCCCAACCTCCTGCACCTTGAAATAGCTGCGATTTGTTCGACGGAGAATTCAACGGAGTACTGCGTACAATATGTTGTGAGTAACGAGGTCTAGAGTTGGGAAATTGGAGTGCACCATCATTGTTCAAATATGACTCCGCCCATTGAGCCGCCACATGAAATACCGTCAGTTCATTAACGGGCAGGTTGTCGCTTCGGAGAATGGCTAACATCGCTGCCGGTGTGAGGATATAAATGGCAGGATTTTGTGTGGTAAATATATCCTGTGAAAAGGGGAATGGAGTTTTCCTTAATTAACGGTACCAGCTGTTCAGATTAAAAGCAAACACCTAGAATAATCTAATATAATAAGAAATCTGGAATCGCTCATTATTGAATAAAGAGAAGTGTTGTGAACAGCTGAGTTAACGAAGTTAAGCTGTATCGAAACTCAACGGCAGTGGAGGATCTAACAGCCAAACCAGCATTTAGGCATAGATATTTCTAACAATTTCGGTGGGTTGGAAATTTGAATGGTGCATCAATTGGCTTTTCTGAAACTGTAGGATAGGGCCATAGAAACTTCCTTGATGCACACGGGTCCAAGTTACAGTTTTTCGGAATAAGCTGCCTATTCTCTTATTCCATCTGTTGACATCACTCTTTTTAATTGTGTCATTAGGTATTTAAGGCTCCTGCTATAAAACGCAAAACTATCAGTGAGGTTATATTTAACTGGGTAAAGGTTGGAAAGTTTCGTGAATGTATTTGAATGTGCATTTTCCTTCATCAAAACTGTGGATATCCTTGCCATGTGACATTCATACAGATGCTAGGTGAACCCTAACCGCCAGCTGGGAAGAAATGTGTAACCACTTTGTCTAAATTTCTAATGATGCAGGGGGTTTCCAAACTGTATGCTGACAGATTATTATGAAAAAAACAGGCGCGGAACAATCCGAAATTCCTAACAGCATGTACAAGACCCATAAATACCAATTTAGAGCTCTTACCGAATCACAGAAATGAAGTGCAGCTTTAAAAGAACCCTTATAAAATTACAACAAATGTCCAGCGCCTAGAGAGTCAAATTAAAATCCAACGTAGAAGCAATTAATGAGCGTCAGGGTTACAGCTACGGGTGAAAACGAACCTGCAACTGTACGTGGAAAAAATCATTCCAAATTCCTCATTCAAGCCAAAGAAGACAGCCGGGCGTCTTACTTTCATCGCAACGTTGCAGTTCCCAAAAATCCTAACTCTATAGAATTGAAGTCTGGTAGCTCAGATTATTCAGATGGCGGTTGAACTATTCGTTGAGCTTGGCAATTTTATTACAACCGTTTCGTCACCGATCGAGGTGACGTCATCAATGTATACTTGAGTGAGGTGCAGCAGCGTGTAATGTACCGGAAAACACATCCGTTCCGTATTTTGCGACATTGGGTTTTACCTTGTTTTAACCTGCAAAACCTCCACTTGTTTTACCGACGGCACTTCCGTTGACACGTCATTTCACCTGTACAACATACGTTGGGTACAGTCGCCTCCAACTTCTATACTGTCCGGTGTTGGACACGGCTCTTACGTGTCATTGATTGCCGACTAGTATCTCAGGCTCCACCCAACAAATTGTGACCCCACTCCAGAACAGGCCGTTCGACAGTTTGAATCTTCATTCTGATGAGCTCGTTCCAGTGATTTGTGATTCGTTACTTCTGATCATCTCGTTTCCTCACCTACCACATTTGTTATCCCCTTTTTGCAATGGATTAGCTAGAGGATGAGCAATCACCATACGCGGTTAAGGACGTTGAGCCTGTCATGGTCAATTCTGTTGCGTTAGCCCCTCCACCTTTTTGGGAGAATGACCCTTCGTTATGGCTTTTGCATCTAGCATCCGTTTTTATATTTGTAGGATTTCTTCTGATTTCGCCATGTATAATCAGCTAATATCTCGCCTTCCTCAGAGTATATCCTCACAGGTGAGGGACATCATAATTTTCCCCCCGCTTGTAATGAAATATGAAACTCCTAAACGGGCTATTATTCCGTGCATCCCGCCTTCTGACAAGGTCCGCCTGCAGCAATTATTTGATGATCTGAAACTGGGAGATAGGATGACCTCAGCGTTGTTGCGCGAAATGCAACATCGCATCGACACGTCCAACATGGATGCAGGCATTCTCCGCGAGCTGTGGATGCAACGCGTTCCTGAAAGCACTCAGGCTATCCTTGCAGTAGCAAGTGACTTGCCAATTACAGCGATAGCAGATCTGGCAGGCCGCGTCATCGAACGTCACCAGCCAGAGACTGAAACCGAATCACCTAAGAAGATTTGTGCTGGTGCAACCATACCGATACCCGTGACTAGCCAGCCGTCGGCAATAGACACATTATCATCGCAGATAGCGTCGTTTCAGCGCCAGATCGAGGAACTCACTTTTAACCGTAAGCACCGCAGTCGCTCTGGATCATCGCCCAGTCGCACAACACCTGACACCACAGCTTACTGCATTTACCACTCGCGTTTCGCTAATAAAGCTCGTTAGTGCGTACAGCCATGTACCTACTCGTCTACAGATGATCCACCACACCGGCCTGTAATGGCCACAAACGACGTCGGCAAACCCCATAGTCGTCACATCTACATTAGAGATTATGATTCCGAGACCCAGTTCTTAGTTGATCCTGGGGTGGAAGTTAGCGTCATTCCCCTATTCCAGGTGAGCTTATGGCTTCATTGTCGACAAGCATAAGTGCCGCCAGTGGCATGCCAATAGCTACCTACGGTCATCGGTCGCTTACCCTGGACCTAGGTCTTCGGCGCACGTTCCGCTGGATATTCACCGTCGCTACAGTCCCCTTTGCCATCATCGACGTTGACTTTCTCAGACATTTCGACCTGTTGGCCGATGCGAAACGCCAGATGATAGTCCACACTGCAACAAAACTCAGGGAATGTGGCATAACCGCCAATATCGCATTTATAACGCCAGTTTATGCCTTTCCCCAGACCCAGACAGACTACGCCAACCACTTTTCTCAGTATCACAATCTCGTTCCTCCAATGAACACAGCTCCGCCCGTGACATCCAAAGTCACGCACCACATACGGACGAATGACCCATCCGTCTCATGCTGTCCACGCCGACTATCGCACGAGAAAATAAAGGTGGCTAAGGCGGAGTTTGAGGGAATGCTCGAACTAGTAATAATCCGCCCTTCCGACAGCCCTTGGTCCTCTCCCCTGCAGATGGACCCCAAGAAATCTGGTGACTGGCGCCCTTGCGCTGATTGACGCCCACTCAATCGGTTAACCGCCCCAGATAGGTATCCAATCCTACACATGCAATACCTTACCGCATGCCTTACAGGCAAGAAGATCTTCAGCAAGATCGATCTGGTTCGCGCCTTTCACCAGATACCTGTAGAAGAAAACGAAATTCCTGAAACAGCCGTTATCACTCCTTTCTGCTTATTTGAATTTGTAAGAGTGCCATTTGGACTGTGCAACGCCGCACAAACCTTCCAACGCTTCATCCACGACGTCACTCAACATATGCGTCCACTACGCTCGACTCCGCCCCGTGAACAGACTAGAGATGTGCAAATGCACAGCGGACTCTCTACCTGCACTCACGTCTTCCTCCACACTGACGCAGTGCGGTGCCCTCTCCAGCCCCCCTACACTGGCCCCTTTCAGAGTACTGCAACGGACTCCGAAACATTTTATTTTAGACCAGAATGGTCACAGAACAACGGTGCCCATCGACCGCCTCAGAGTGGCTTCCTTTAATGAGCCACTTGCAACCCATCCTGATGCTTTCGTACAAGCACTCGGTGACTTTTCGAGCACTGGATAGCCCGAAATCCTCCGTACCCCTTGATCCTCAACCTATCGCGCCTCTACCCCGGGCAACCGACCGACGAGGTAGACAGGTCAAACATCTGGTCCTTTTTCAGATGTTTTAAACGTTTTCTACTTCCATTAACACGCCTTTTTCGTCTTTAGTGGTTATCGTGCGTCTTGTTCACAAACGTTTTGCAAACTCGACAAAAAACCCAAAACATTTTGAAAACTTAAAAAGCGTATTTGCTTTTATCATGCATGCCATGTACCCTCACCGGCGTCAAGCCACTTCCCTGACCCTTGCCCACCACTCTGAGTTTTACCTTCCAGAAACCCAACCGCCGGTACTGCCAAGGCAACCCTCGAGTGACTCGCCAACCGGCTCAACGCAACCCCCGAGTGGCTCTCCAGCCGACCCAAGGCCCCCTTCTTGACGCAAGGAACAGTCCGTCGTTCTCGGCCGCAGACGTCCACGAACGGACTGGTCCCCAAACGCCTGGTTAGGTGTTGCCGACGAGAATTCCTGAATGTCTTCGTGGGACGAGGATTGTGAACTGCAGTGTGGTAGGGAGTTATACCTCCCAAGCGCACCGTCGGGTCTACAGCGGAGGGAATGTCCTGTTGCCCTTTGTTCTGGACTAGTCAATAATTTTGCAGTCCGACCAGCCCGCCCCGGCAGCTCACCGATGACGCACTCTGGTACACACGATTATCATAAATAATTAATAACAAAAGCTTGGACCCAGCGAACTACTACACACCCCATATTGGAAGCCCTTGTTCAAGCCCATTCAACTATTCGCACCCATCCCCACTTTCCGTTTTCCCCCACAAACAGCTCCATCGAAGGCTTCCATCCTTCAACCCACCCTTGGAGTGTACCAGAAAACATGTCCGTTCCGTATTTTGCAACATTGGATTTTACTGTTGTTTTAACCTGCAAAACCTCCACTTGTTTTACCGACGGCACTTCCGTTGACACAAGTCATTTCGCCTGCACAACATACGTTGGGTACAGTCGCCTCCAACTTCTATACTGTCCCGTATTTGACACGGCTCTTACGTGTCATTGATTACCGACTAGTATCCCAGGTGCCACCCAATAAGTGTAGAGTAGCGTAGAGGACCCTCGGTGAGAGTGCACTGAGCGTGGCGGGCGGGCGCTTTTATACCTCCGAGGTTGGCCGTGGAGCCGAGCAATCCTATTGGTTGACACTTCAATCCGGGTTCAGCTTGGTTGATGGGCAGAGGACCTTTGATCTTGCCTCCTTGTATTTCGTAACCTTTGTCTGCTTGCTCCTGCGAGCGAGTCTGCCGTCAGTTTTGGTTGTCTAGTCACACGTTCTACAGAGATTCCATGTGACACACGGAATCACATGGAATCTCTGTGACTCACAAGCCAAGTGCCACACTGAGGAAATTGATTTCTAG